TTAACCACGAGACCTTCTTTTTGTTGGCCCACCCTCATGGGCGGCGTGGCGTGGCGGGCGGCTGTCTCTGCCGCCGCCTCGAGTGAGCCTCGTCTCGCTCTTCGTCTACTCGAGCCTCGTCTCGTGTGCCGCCTCGTGGGCGGTGGGGCGTGGCGGGCGGCTGCCTCTGCCGCCGCCTCGAGTGAGCCTCGTCTCGCTCTTCGTCTACTCGAGCCTCGTCTCGTGTGCCGCCTCATGGGCGGCGTGGCGTGGCGGGCGGCTGTCTCTGCCGCCGCCTCGAGTGAGCCTCGTCTCGCTCTTCGTCTACTCGAGCCTCGTCTCGTGCGCCGCCTCGTGGGCGGCGTGGCGGGCGGGCGGCTGTCTCTGCCGCCGCCTCGAGTGAGCCTCGTCTTGGTCTTCGTCTACTCGAGCCTCGCTTCGTGTGCCGCCTCGTGGGCGGCGTGGCGTGGCGGGCGGCTGTCTCTGCCGCCGCCTCGAGTGAGCTTCGTCTCGCTCTTCGTCTACTCGAGCCTCGTCTCGTGCGCCGCCTCGTGGGCGGCGTGGCGTGGCGGGCGGCTGTCTCTGCCGCCGCCTCGAGTGAGCCTCGTCTCGCTCTTCGTCTACTCGAGCCTCGTCTCGTGTGCCGCCTCGTGGGCGGCGTGGCGTGGCGGGCGGCTGTCTCTGCCGCCGCCTCGAGTGAGCCTCGTCTCGCTCTTCGTCTACTCGAGCCTCGTCTCGTGTGCCGCCTCGTGGGCGGCGTGGCGGGCGGGCGGCTGTCTCTGCCGCCGCCTCGAGTGAGCCTCGTCTCGCTCTTCGTCTACTCGTGCCTCGTCTCGTGTGCCGCCTCGTGGGCGGCGTGGCGGGCGGCTGTCTCTGCCGCCGCCTCGAGTGAGCCTCGTCTCGCTCTTCGTCTACTCGAGCCTCGCTTCGCGTGCCGCCTCGTGGGCGGCGTGGCGGGCGGGCGGCTGTCTCTGCCGCCGCCTCGAGTGAGCCTCGTCTCGCTCTTCGTCTACTCGAGCCTCGCTTCGCGTGCCGCCTCGTGGGCGGCGTGGCGGGCGGGCGGCTGTCTCTGCCGCCGCCTTGAGTGCGCCTCGTCTCGCTCTTCGTCTACTCGAGCCTCGTCTCGTGTGCCGCCTCGTGGGCGGCGTGGCGGGCGGGCGGCTGTCTCTGCCGCCGCCTCGAGTGAGCCTCGTCTTGGTCTTCGTCTACTCGAGCCTCGTCTCGTGTGCCGCCTCGTGGGCGGCGTGGCGTGGCGGGCGGCTGTCTCTGTCGCCGCCTCGAGTGACTCGTCTCGCTCTTCGTCTACTCGAGCCTCGTCTCGTGTGCCGCCTCGTGGGCGGCGTGGCGGGCGGGCGGCTGTCTCTGCCGCCGCCTCGAGTGAGCCTCGTCTCGCTCTTCGTCTACTCGAGCCTCGTCTCGTGTGCCGCCTCGTGGGCGGCGTGGCGTGGCGGGCGGCTGTCTCTGCCGCCGCCTCAAGTGCGCCTCGTCTCGCTCTTCGTCTACTCGAGCCTCGTCTCGTGTGCCGCCTCGTGGGCGGCGTGGCGGGCGGGCGGCTGTCTCTGCCGCCGCCTCGAGTGCGCCTCGTCTCGCTCTTCGTCTACTCGAGCCTCGTCTCGTGTGCCGCCTCGTGGGCGGCGTGGCGTGGCGGGCGGCTGTCTCTGCCGCCGCCTCGAGTGAGCCTCGTCTCGCTCTTCGCCTACTCGAGCCTCGTCTCGTGTGCCGCCTCGTGGGCGGCGTGGCGTGGCGGGCGGCTGTCTCTGCCGCCGCCTCGAGTGAGCCTCGTCTCGCTCTTCGTCTACTCGAGCCTCGTCTCGTGTGCCGCCTCGTGGGCGGCGTGGCGTGGCGGGCGGCTGTCTCTGCCGCCGCCTCGAGTGAGCCTCGTCTCGCTCTTCGTCTACTCGTGCCTCGTCTCGTGTGCCGCCTCGTGGGCGGCGTGGCGGGCGGCTGTCTCTGCCGCCGCCTCGAGTGAGCCTCGTCTCGCTCTTCGTCTACTCGAGCCTCGCTTCGCGTGCCGCCTCGTGGGCGGCGTGGCGGGCGGGCGGCTGTCTCTGCCGCCGCCTCGAGTGAGCCTCGTCTCGCTCTTCGCCTACTCGAGCCTCGTCTCGTGTGCAGCCTCGTGGGCGGCGTGGCGGGCGGGCGGCTGTCTCTGCCGCCGCCTCGAGTGAGCCTCGTCTTGGTCTTCGTCTACTCGAGCCTCGTCTCGTGTGCCGCCTCGTGGGCGGCGTGGCGTGGCGGGCGGCTGTCTCTGCCGCCGCCTCGAGTGAGCCTCTCGTCTCGCTCTTCGCCTACTCGAGCCTCGTCTCGTGTGCCGCTTCGTGGGCGGCGTGGCGGGCGGGCGGCTGTCTCTGCCGCCGCCTCGAGTGAGCTTCGTCTCGCTCTTCGTCTACTCGAGCCTCGTCTCGTGTGCCGCCTCGTGGGCGGCGTGGCGGGCGGGCGGCTGTCTCTGCCGCCGCCTCGAGTGAGCCTCGTCTCGCTCACCCTCTACTCGTGCCTCGTCTCGTGTGCCGCCTCGTGGGCGGCGTGGCGGGCGGCTGTCTCTGCCGCCGCCTCGAGTGAGCCTCGTCTCGCTCTTCGTCTACTCGAGCCTCGTCTCGTGTGCCGCCTCGTGGGCGGCGTGGCGTGGCGGGCGGCTGTCTCTGCCGCCGCCTCGAGTGAGCCTCGTCTCGCTCTTCGTCTACTCGAGCCTCGTCTCGTGTGCCGCCTCTGGGGCGGCGTGGCGTGGCGGGCGGCTGTCTCTGCCGCCGCCTCGAGTGAGCCTCGTCTCGCTCCTCGTCTACTCGAGCCTCGTCTCGTGTGCCGCCTCGTGGGCGGCGTGGCGTGGCGGGCGGCTGTCTCTGCCGCCGCCTCGAGTGAGCCTCGTCTCGCTCTTCGTCTACTCAAGCCTCGTCTCGTGTGCCGCCTCGTGGGCGGCGGGGCGTGGCGGGCGGCTGTCTCTGCCGCCGCCTCGAGTGAGCCTCGTCTCGCTCCTCGTCTACTCGAGCCTCGCCTCGTGTGCCGCCTCGTCTGCGGCGTGGCGGGCGGTCGGCTGCATCGACTGTCACCCCGCCCGAGTGCGTCTCGTCTCGCTCACCCTCTACTCGAGCCTCGACTCGTGTGCCGCCTCGTCAGCGGCGTGGCGGGCGGTAGGCTGCATCAGCTGTCGCCCCGCCCGAGTGCGTCTCGTCTCGCTCACTCTCCACTCGAGCCTCGACTCGTGTGCCGCCTCGTCTGCGGCGTGGCGGGCGGTCGGCTGCGTCAGCTGTCGCCCCGCCCGAGTGTCTCTCGTCTCGCTACTCGAGCCTCGACTCGTGCGCCGCCTCGTCTGCGGCGTGACGTGCGGTCGGCTGCATCAGCTGTCGCCCCGCCCGAGTGCGTCTCGTCTCGCCCACTCTCCACTCGAGCCTCGACTCGTGTGCCGCCTCGTCTGCGGCGTGGCGGGCGGTAGGCTGCGTCAGCTGTCGCCCCGCCCGAGTGCGTCTCGTCTCGCTCACTCTCTACTCGAGCCTCGACTCGTGTGCCGCTTCGTCTGCGGCGTGGCGGGCGGTAGGCTGCGTCAGCTGTCGCCCCGCCCGAGTGCGTCTCGCCTCGCTCACTCTCCACTCGAGCCTCGACTCGTGTGCCGCCTCGTCTGCGGCGTGGCGGGCGGTCGGCTGCATCAGCTGTCGCCCCGCCCGAGTGCGTCTCGTCTCGCCCACTCTCCACTCGAGCCTCGACTCGTGTGCCGCCTCGTCTGCGGCGTGGCGGGCGGTAGGCTGCGTCAGCTGTCGCCCCGCCCGGGTGCGTCTCGTCTCGCTCACCCTCTACTCGAGCCTCGACTCGTGCGCCGCCTCGCCGGCAGCGTGGCGGGCGGTCGGCTGCATCAGCTGTCGCCCCGCCCGAGTGTCTCTCGTCTCGCTACTCGAGCCTTGCCTCGTGTGCCGCCTCAACTGCGGCGTGGCGGGCTGTCGGTTGCATCAGCTGTCGCCCCGCCCGAGTGCGTCTCGTCTCGCTCACCCTCTACTCGAGCCTCGACTCGTGCGCCGCCTCGTCAGCGGCGTGGCGGGCGGTCGGCTGCATCAGCTGTCGCCCCGCCCGCGGTCGGCTGCATCGGCTGTCGCCCCGCCCGAGCGCGTCTCGTCTCGCCCACTCTCTACTCGAGCCTCGACTCGTGTGCCGCTTCGTCTGCGGCGTGGCGGGCGGTAGGCTGCGTCAGCTGTCGCCCCGCCCGAGTGCGTCTCGTCTCGCTCACTCTCCACTCGAGCCTCGACTCGTGTGCCGCCTCGTCTGCGGCGTGGCGGGCGGTCGGCTGCATCAGCTGTCGCCCCGCCCGAGTGTCTCTCGTCTCGCTACTCGAGCCTCGCCTCGTGTGCCGCCTCAACTGCGGCGTGGCGGGCGGTCGGCTGCATCAGCTGTCGCCCCGCCCGAGTGCGTCTCGTCTCGCTCACCCTCTACTCGAGCCTCGACTCGTGCGCTGCCTCGTCAGCGGCGTGGCGGGCGGTCGGCTGCATCGGCTGTCGCTCCGCCCGAGCGCGTCTCGTCTCGCTCACCCTCTACTCGAGCCTCGACTCGTGTGCCTCCTCGTCGGCGGCGTGGTGAGCAGTCAACCGTCTCGCTCCTGGCTGTCACAGGCGGGTTGATCGGCTCTCGGCCGTTGCCTTCGCCTTCGGCCTTCTAGTCAAGTGGGCGCCTGGGCGTGGCGAGGCAGCTGGCCTTCGGCCTCTTCTCGCTTTCCTCCGAGCGGTTGCTCTCTCGCACCACGCTCTCGGCCGCCTGGGCGGCTCCGTTCCACGGAGCAGTTGCCCCTCTCTCGGCTACATTGGGTTGTGAGGGCCCTCTGCTCCTTTGCCCTCGCTCCTCCACTACTGCTTTGGGATGTCAGGTACTGCGTAGCTCTTCCTTGTGGAGGCACGCGACGACTCCAGACGGACCCTAGTACGCTCCAATGTATCCTCACGGATGCTAGGAAGTGAAGCCCAGATAAAGTAGTTCGCCGTCAACGATTGGGGTAGGGGCCCCAACTCGTGTGAGGCTACTACTTTATCGCAGGTACTCACTGAGGAGCGTCTTCTCATATGAAGGGTCTTCATCCCTCCTGCCAGTCTTCACGGATTTTTCTCCGTGAACACTCAGGACGCGACGTACGTCCAAGCACGTTCCGCGTGCCTCGTGGCCGCGCTCTTTGCGTGCTGCTCCTGCAGCTCTCTCGCTGCTCTTCCTGGCCCGGCGCCGTGCCAGCTCTGTGGCCGCGCCAGGCTCTGCGACCGCGCCAGCACTCTGGCTGCGCCGGTTCTTCGCTTTCCCCACCCACCCTCTCCTGGGATAAGGGGGTCGTTCTGAGGGCTCTCCGTATGGTTAGCTCCTCCCTCTCTCTGGTCTGTGGTGCGATCCCTTTCGGCGACGCGGCCAGGCCACGGGTCGTTGAGGCTTGCCTCCGTGCCCGTGGTCGTCCAAGCTGATCGAGTCCCAACCCACCGCCTTTAGTGGCAGGACCCCAGGGGATGTCAGGTACTGCGTAGCTCTTCCTTGTGGAGGCACGCGACGACTCCAGACGGACCCTAGTACGCTCCAATGTATCCTCACGGATGCTAGGAAGTGAAGCCCAGATAAAGTAGTACCTCCTATTTCACACCGCGACGCGTTCCGACGCGCTCTTGGCAGAGCTCCGATGAGCGACCCCGACTGGGCGCGCTCAACCTCGAGAGCCGTCTCTGCTGGCGCGGCGGCGGCCGCCGCCGCGGCGACGACGACTGCTGCGGCAGCAAAAAAGGCGGCCGTCGTGACGGGCGAATATGCTGTGCCGGCGGCTGTTATCGCGGCTGAGCACCTCTCCGTGGCTGCCGCCGTCGGGTACGGCGCCACGTGCAGCGCCGTTGGCCGCGGCTGGCACGCCACCCGCAGCGCCGTCGGTCCACGCCTGGAGCGGGCTGCAGACATGGCGGCGGAAGAGGTTGCGGTGGCGTGGTCACGCGCGACTGCACGTCTGGGCGAGGCGCTGCTCCCTCTGAGGGAGGGCGTGGCGAGGCTTGCGGAGTCCGAGGCGCTGCAAAAGCTAGCGGAGAGAACCGCTGCCGCCCTCTCCGCGCTTCGCTGGCTCGCCTC